GTGACACAAGTAGTTTAAAGATTCAGTGTTAGGGTTGCTGGTTCAAACCCACCCTGAAGTGCCTTCAAGAGAGGCCTTGTGAACCGCTTGCAAATCCTTGGAATATCTGTGGTGTGCAGTTATCCTGTGCCCGTGAAGGGTCAGCGTGGGCCAGCTTCAATAGCATCTGGTTTGTCTGACTGTTTTCACAGACAAATGTTGTTATTGTGAGGTGTCATTCAGTTGCCACTACTCCAGTGACCCTGTGAGCAACAGGCCAGGACCTCGCCCGGCCCAGGGCCTCCTCACCGTCCCTGAAATGCTTGTGTTGAGGACCTTCCTCTCTTTCTCTGACTCTCCACCTTTCCCAGCTGGATGCCTGTTCCCAAGGCCTGGTCCTCATGCCCAGAAGATGTGAGACCAGGTTTCGCCCGCTTGCCTGTCAGAAGCACTCTGGTTGCACTGCCTCCAAGACCACGTGGCACCAATCACATGCTTTGGCTTGTGCAGCCATCCACACCCTCCTTTTCCAAATCGTTGCTCCATTGTTAACATAAATTCTCTTCACCTTTTAAGTTTATGACCTGACCTTCCCAGGGGATATTGTCAGTTTAGTTCCATATAGATCCTTCTTTTCCCACTGCCCCCTGATTATAGAGCAATTGTTTTGGAGGTTTAACAAGCTTCAGTGGCCCCAGGAAGATTGTATTCCGTGAAAATTTAAAATTCTGTTCTTCATTTTCCCTCTCTTTTGATGAGGATTCTTCTCTAAGGTCTTTGATCCAAACATTCAATAATGTGACCGGGGGCCACATCTGGTTCTTCTGGTCTCAGGACAAAGCAAGCAGTTGTTTCTGGAGGCAATTAGACATGCATTCCATTTCCTCCTCCTCCTACTTGAGGCTTCACTGCGGCATGACGGTCAGACTTGGTCTCCCATACTTTGGTCATGGTTGGTAGCAGGGAAAAGGCATCGTTCTGGGGAAAGTCAGAGGAAGAGCAGAAGACCCTTAATGAGATGGACTGACCTCCAGGGACTGGAACAGTGGGCTTGAGCATGTCCGAGACCTTGAGGATGATACAGGCCAGGTTGGGGTTCAGATCTGCTGCTCACGAGATCGCTGTGCGACCAAGGTCCACTTGCTGGCACGTAGCAACCACAGTAACACTTCTGATTCTCCCTTTTCCTCTGTTGCTCCAAAGTTGTTGTTGTTGTTAGGTGCTGTTGAGTCAGAACCAACTCACTGCTGACCCTCCAGCAGGTTTTCAGAGGCAGTCAATCACACGAGAGGAAATTGCCCATCCTTTCCCCACAGAGCAGATGGTGGATTCGAACCGTGTGCCTTAGGCTGGGCAGTACACTGAGAGTGAGCGTGGAGACCGGTTGCCTCACCTCGGGTGGCTGCTCAAGCTTTCAAGTCCTGCCGTACCACGCACCCTGCTAGGAGGTAGCGGAGACAGTCCTTCGAGCTGCCTCTGCTGCTGGCTGGAAGGAGTTCTTCCCCCTGGAAGTTTTTGCAACTGGAGAATGCTTGTTCCTGCCCAGCCTTATTTGGCTTGTGGTTGTAGTCCCTGGAGCCATTGTTCATTTAAGTTTTTTTAGGTTTCTTTTATCATCTTTTTCTCCACCCCCCCATTCATTCATTGCTGCACATTTTCCTCCCTGCCCACCCCTCCCCCAGTTCACTTTTCTCTTTGAAAAGAAAATAAATTAATTCATTGTTATACACCCCCCACCCCACCGCAATCCACTTGACTATGCAGCTCTTATTCTGGGCTCTTGCCATGCAAATAATACCTAATCACATACCCCTTTTAAACAGTTCTCTCCCTCATCTGTTTCAATGCAGTATACATTATTTATCCCTTATTTCTCAGTCTCCCCCAAACCCTGATGCCAGTTCTGTTTTACAACAGTGGCATTAGGCAGTGTTTTTCCTTTCGTGACTGAGATATTTCACTTAGCACAATGTTCTCCAGGTTCACCCATTTTGAATAATAGTGCATGAGTTCCTTGTTTTTCAATGCAGTGTAGTATTCCATTGTGTGAATATACCACAGCTTCTCTATCCATTAGTTTGTTGATGGGCACTTGGGTTGTTTCCAACTCTTTGCTATTGTGAACAAAGCCGCAATAAACATGGGTGTGCATATATCTACTTGGGTGGCAGTTATGGTCTCCTTAGGGTATATTCTCAATAGTGAATTTCTGGGTCAAATGGTATTTCTATTTCCAACTTCTGAGAAAGTGCCACACCGCCTTCCACAGTGGTTGCACCATTTTACACTCCCACCAACAGTGAATAAGGGTTCCAGTTTCTCCACAACCTTGCCAGCATTTGTTGTTTGCTGCTCCATTGAATTTAGCTATTTTTTAATTTTTATTTTATTATTTGTGTGTACCGTCAAATCAGATCTGACTGGTACAAGAGGAGATTGTCCCTCCTTCCCCGGCAGAGCATCTGGTGGATTCGAACTGTGCGCCTCAGGGATTGCAGTGCAGCTTCTTGCCACTAGGCGAATTTCGCTATTCTGACTGGGGTGAGATGATATCTCATAGTTGTTTTGATTTGCATCTCACTTAGAGCTAGGGATTTTTAACATTTGTTCATGTGTTTGCCATCTGAACGTCGTCTCTGGTGAAGTGTCTGTTCATATCCTGTGTCCATTTTACAATTGGATTGTTTACTTTTATCTTGTTGTGGTGCTGGACCACCTCTCAGAAAAAAAAAAAAAAGAGAAGAATAATAGAAAAAAAAAAACCCCAACCACTCACCTTCTAGCTCAAACCTCAAAACCAAACTCTCGGCCACTGAGTCAGTCCTGACTAAAGAGGGAGGTGGTGGTGTCGTGGGTGCCATTGACTCGGCTACGACTCACAGCGTCCCCGTGGACAGCAGGTCTGCACCTTGGCAGTTCATCACCCATCTTGACCGTCTCCAGCTCGCTTGATCCCACGGTTCCTGCCACCAAGTCAGTTTATCTATGGAGTGCCTTCCTCTCTGCCTCTTCTTCCTCTGCCTCTCCCAGCAGGATGTCAGTTTCCAAGCCCTGGCACCTCCTGATGGAGTAAAACTGTGCCACAGACTTTTCCAAGCCGTAACCTTTGCTGACACAAACTCCCGTGTGTCTCTCCCCATAGACTGGCTGGTGGGTTCAAACCAATGACCTTTAGCTCAGCCACTGATCGCCTAATGACTGCACCTGTAGGGCTCGTGGGTCACTGGGGTCTAACTGGACTGCACAAGTGGGCACAAGGCTTTCGCCTGGCTGGGTGACACACCGAACCTCCGCCCTTGGCCACAGAGGTTCAGTGCTTGGGCTGTGATGCTCTCAGTTAGTCCTGGCTGGACCCCAGATGTTTGGGAGCTGCCTCAGGAAAACAGCTTTTTGTCAGCTGAATTGATGCCTGGAAAGATGCAGACCCGGAGTTTCTGGCAGGAGTATTGCTACGTGGTGGAGCGAGCTGGAAGCCAGCATGAAGGGAAGTTGAGCCAGAAGATGGGGAAGACTGGACAGTGGGCAGTGTTTGTGTACCCAGGTCCAGGCTCATTGGAAGCCTGCCCGCTGGACTCCTCAAGTCCACGGCCAGTACATATTTCCTTTGGCTGAAGCCAAAAGTCGGATTTTCCAAAACAGCATGCAGTCATAGGCTACAGCAATTCTAACTGGGCTCTTGGAGGATGCAACTTGGGTTTTTTTCTGCCTGCTTTCTCTGACCAGCTAGGTGTGGGCCATGCCTTTCCCCAGTCTCCCCAGTAAAACCCTGAAAGGGCCCAGGAGAAAACTCACATTCCCAGAGTGAGGGAGCTCTGGTGGCCTAGTGCAGCTACGCTGCAATCCTGAAGGCCTGCGGTTCGAGGCCACCAGCTGCTCTGTGGGAGAAGGATGGGCAGTCTCCTCCTCTGCAATTATCTGCCTCTGAAAACCCACTGAAGAAGGGTCAGCTGTGGGTTGGTTCCGACTGATGGTAAATGCAGCCCGTTGAACAGATGGGGAAACAGGAGCTTTCGCCGTTCTTGGGCGCTCCAGTGGCCCGGTGGATAAGACGTCGTGCTGGAGCCCAAGAGATGCTGTGTAGGAGGGCGGTGGGCAAGCGCCTCCTGTATGATTTACTGCCTCTAAAAGCCCACCGCGGAGTCAGTTATGTCAGTGTTGACATCCAAGACAGTAAAGAGTGGAGAGAAACAGGTTGGAAGTCTGTGTTTAAACGTTGTGCGGGATTCTGAAGCAGATATGGGCGGATAGCACTGGCCTGGAGCCCGGGGGGGGGGGGGAGCCGGGCAGGGGAGTAGGGGGGCGTTGGAAGCTGGAGGGAGGTTGCCAGGGAGCCTGGTGGTCAAGTCCTCCCGGCTGATCTGCTCTGTAGAGATTCCAGCCTGGGAACCCCTGTGGGTAAAATATGAGTCAGACGTAAAGCCCACGCGTTGTTGTGCGCGGTCAGAACCGACTGCTGACCCTCAGGCGGGTTTTCAGAGACTAATCACACAGGAAGCGATTGCTCATTCTTCTCCCATGGAGCAGCTGGTGGATTGGAACCGCGCGCCTTTGGGATGGCAGCGCTGCTCCAGTCAGCCGGCCAGGTGGAGAGGGGTGATCGAGCGGGTTGAGAAGGCAAAGCTGAGGGTGAGAGTGGGCGCGCGCTCGGAGCCCAGCCGGAGCCAGGACGCGCAGTTCCGACTCGTGGCCACGGGTTTTTCCGCGCCCAAGGACATTGGGCCTGCCAGGTGGGGGCGGCTGGTGGGCGGGGCCTCGCGGGCCCTCCCCTGCCCAGGTGAGCCCGGCCGGAAGAGCCGCCGCGTCCCAGGGGTCCCTGCGTCCTGTCCCCGCGGCCCGGCTCCAGGGCTGAGCGCGCCCTCGGCGGTGCACAGGGGGCTCAGCGCCCCGCGGCCCAGGTGCCGTTTTCCGAGGGCGGGGTTTGGGGCCCGGAGCCGAGATTCCTGGCCCGGCCAGCGGGCGGGCGTCGAGGGACAGAAACAGACGAGACCAGGCAGAGCCGAGTGGCGCCGTGAGCTGCCAGCATGTTCTCCCGAAACCACCGGAGCCGAGTCACCGTGGCTCGCGGCTCCGCCCTGGAGATGGAGTTCAAACGCGGCCGCTTCCGACTCAGCCTCTTCAGCGACCCGCCCGAGGTGAGCGTGCGCCCTGCGCTCCAGCCCCGCGCCCCGCGCCCCGTGCGCCCTGCGCTCTACTCTACGAGTGCTGTGCGGGGCGCTTGTTATGCGCCGCCCAGACCCTCAGGCCTCTGCCAAGAACACCAATCTAGGCTCCCAAAATGTGCGGGACCCCAGCCCTATAGGCATCCCACTGTAAGAGGAAGTGGGCGTGCTGGGCGGGCCGGAGAGCGGGGGGGGGGGGGCCTTCCTGCCCCCAGACCCCTCCCCAAAACGATGCTACCGCCTGGAGCAGCTTCTTCTTGGCGCCTCGGGCCCTGGGCTGTGCTGGGGCGGAGGGTGGGGGGGGGAATTCCCTTTTAACTCTTAGGGGTTCTTTCCTTTCCCCAAACTTCCCGCCTCCTCCTCTAAGCGGACTCCACCCTCGACACGGAGAGGATCCCCTGGAACTGCCCTCAGAGGCTGGGGGGCGGGAGGTGGGTCCGGGTCGGCCGGAGGCCGAGTGCTTCCGAGCGTTTCCACGTGAGACCTCAGGGTCGGCCCCCCATGGCCGGGGACAGGCCGGGGTGGAAGGGGTTAAGGGAGGCACTTCTTCCCGCCCGGTCCCCTCCCGCCGGGATTCCAGGCCCCACTCCTGCCCTTCCCTCCGCCTGTCCCAAAACAAAGGCCCTTTCACGCGGTGCCCCTGCGTCCCGGGCCGTCTGTGGTCCCGAAGTCCCGGGCCGGGGGAGGAGACACTTGTCCGACCCCGTCTCGGGAGCGACTGCGCGGGTGGGCGCGGCGCAGCGGGAGTGCTCG